AGATTCATCGGTAAGGAAGAAATATTAGGTGTAGATGGTTTCAAGGTCAAGTTCAAAGCAGATGGAACTATAAGAGGCAAAAAAATTAGATTTGTTGCTAAAAGCTTCACTCAAAGAGAAGGCGAGACCTTCTCACCTGTGGCCAAAATTATTTCCATAAGAATATTACTGGCTTTAGGTGCAATCAAAGGATAACATCTTTAACAACTAGACGTCAACAATGTATTTTCGCTTGGAGATTTAAATGAAGAGGTATACATGGAGCTTCCACTTAGGCATTCAAAAAAAAGAGAAAAGAAGGTGTATAGACTGTTGAAGAGCTTGTATGGCCTCAAGCAAGTATCCGAAAATAGTATGTTAAGTATTATAAGTTTATCATTCAACTTGGATTCAATCAATCCAAGATTGATTACAATTTATTCACGAAGGCTGATGATAAGAGTTTTATAGCTTGTTTGCTTATGTTGATGATATCCCTATGGCAGTTAATGGTGAAGGTACAATCAAAGAATTAAATATAATAATGAATAATGAGTTTAAAATTAAAAATTTAAGAGATTTAAATTTTTTTCTTGGAATTGAAGTTACTAGGTCAAAAGGAAGAGTTCACATATGCCAGAAGAAGTATGCCTTAGACCTTTATAAAGATGCATGGGTTTAAGGAAACAAAACTTCATCACTTCCCTTAAACGAAAACAACAAGCTTACACAAGATGAAAGAGAGCCAGCACTAGATCCAAGGATGTATAGAAGGTTAATTTAAAGGTTGATGTACCTCATGTTAATTAGGCCATACCAGTTTACTCTGTTCAAGTCCGCAGCAAATTCATAGAGAGTGACACTTGAAGGTTGTGTACAAGATCTTGAGGTATGTTAATGGTATACTAGGTCAGGGTTTATTTTACTTAGATACATCTGAATTAAAACTAAAGGCTTACACTAACAGTGATTGGGGTGGATGCCCCAACACAAAAAAGTCTATTATATGATATGATATTTTTTCAAGGAGCTCACTTATATCCTAGAAGTCTAAGAAACAAAAAATAGTTTCTAGATTTTCAACGGAGGCAAAATATAAAACTATGGTCAATGTGTTAACATAAATCATATACGTAGGTGATAATCTTAAAGTATGTAATTCAAAAGCAAAAGATTTGTATTGTGATAATAAAACTCCATATATGTAGCTACTAACCTCGTGTTCCATGAAAGAACTGAACACATTGAGATCGATGGTCATTTAGTTAGATACAAGATGCAGGAAAGAAGTATAGTGACAAGACATGTGAGCAGCAAGTGATAGCTAGTAGATATCTTCACTAAAGTTTTGTCTAGTTGGCTTTTCAAAGAGCATATGATCAAGATAGAAACAGAAAACATCTGCTCTTCATCTTGAGGGGAGATTTTAATGGTGTAACACCGCGAAAATTTTGCATTTAACGTGCATCGAACTCCATTATTTTGGGCTTCATAGTCATTTAAATTTTCGTTCTTGCAATAATTTAAGTAATTTATATAATTTTATCAATTTTATTATTTTTCTAAAAATATTTCCAATTTAATTTTCAGAAAAATGGCAAGAATCAGTGAAAATCGGTGAAGCGGGAAGCAAAAACCCGCAGCTCGCGGCCTGCACTCCTGCGAACTTATGGCCAAGCATGCAGTCAGCCCGAGGCAGCAGCGCGCCTCCATAGTCAGTTATGCACTGTAGGCTTAGCCTGCAGACGCGCTAGCTTATTCTGCCGCACATAGGCCCATGCGCGCAAGCCTACCACGCAGGCCTATTGCACGAACAGCGCGAGTATAGGGCGCACGATGTCGTCCTAGTTTTTGCACGATGGGATGCATGTGGACTAGACTGTCTGCACACGATGAGATGCGCGCACAGACCGGCCTCGCACCTTGCGTGGATGAGACATGCGCACAGTGCGCACGTCCAGTGTTGGCTGTGTTCACGCACGCACACACGACATGCGATGCCTGTACAGACAGGTCTTTTCTCACGGCCTTTTTCCTGCAGGATTTTGCCCCTTTTTCATTTTTTCTCCTTAAAATTTATTTTTAAAAATAGAATAACAAAATAATATAATATAAT